AATATAAATTTTCTTGTGCCCAATACCTTTTATTATTTCGATTAAACATACCCAAGTTAGTAAATCGACTCTCATCTGTATACAGAATTTTGTAGGGAAATGCATTATCGTTTTCATAACTTTTTAAATACCAATTACAATACTGGAGTCGTCTTTCATAATCATTCTCGTACAAATTTTGATGTAATTGGTATTTCTAAGAACGAAGTTTATGTTTTTTTAAAATCCTCTACACCGATTTTTTTGAAATTTCGCACTGTATCGCAATCTCCCTAACTGATGCACTGTTGTTATTTTCGATACATGCCCAAATATTTCGTTCCGTATCGCCACTTACAGTGTATCTAGGGTTTTCATTATTGACCGGCTCTGTTTGCATTTTCGCCACAATTTTTGGAAAGTAATGCCTTGTTGGGTGGCGACGACCAGGAAATCTCTGCGCGTAAAGTCTAGCAGCAGCACTGCGTTTTTTTCTGCATTCTCCAAATATTAATATCATATCTACTTTTTCGATTTGCGTGAATTTTTCTATAATTTAAATTGAAATTAACGAATATTGTCAACTAATGAACTTAATTGCGTTACTTAATTTACGTTATGTCAAATTGCTAGCAATTTTTTTTCCATAGCCACCTTGATAGGTTTTAATCAAAATAAAGTAAACAATCCAAACCATAATGTACAATGGACATTGTAATTTCCTATCAGCTACAGAACATTTAGTGTAAAAGAACAAAAAATAAAAAATTAAAGACCAAAAATAATTGAATTAAATTAATTGTTTGTTCGCGTTTTTCCTTTAAAACTAATTTAATACAACTGTTAATTTACACCATTATTAAAAAAGAACCGCTGACTAAAGCGTGGCAGTGATCACTGCTCGAGAAATAGCAAATGAAGAGGAACATAACGTAGTTTACACTATTAAGCTAGCTACTATGCGTCAAAAGTAGTAATACATTTTGCGAAGATACTAAAATGTTGAAAAACAACAAAAATAACTTTTTTTTTCAAAAATTATAAGCGATCATGAAAATTTTTTCAAGTAAAAGTTATGTGAAATTATGCTGTCTACTCATCTGAAGAAAAAAAATTTATAGATTTAAAAAAATAGCGAAATTAGTACTCACATCCGGTATAACCGGAAGTACAAAGAGTATGATTTCATGTCGTATCTTCATGTATCGTATATTTTATGTATAATCCGTTTTAATGGCCTAATTATGCACTCTAAATGGTTTTCTTGTATCACTATCTGAGGGACACCCGGTATGTTAATTTGAAAATTTTCGGATCCACGGTTTTCTTTTTATTGCGAGTTAAATGAAAAAAGTACCCGATTTTTTACGGTACCGGCAACTTTGTCAACGTAGGAAACAATTTGAATTTTGAACAGGTGGTAGCCTGATGTGTTCTTAATGAGTGGCATATTTTAGTATTTCGATGTTCCATACAGTTTCGCGGTTTGGTAAGACACCGTTATGTCGAAAATGGCTGGGTGGATTTCCTCGCGGATTTTACCAAAATATGTCAAATAATGTCAAATTGTCAAATTATTTGACATATTTTGGTAGAAACCGCGTTGAAATCCGCCAGGTCGTTTTCGAAATAACCGCATCCTACTAAACCGCGATTTTCCGCGAAACTATATGGAATATCGAAAAAATAAAATATGCCCCACATTAAGAACACATCGGTTTACCACCAGTTAAAATTTAAAATTTTTTCGTCAAATAGTTTTGTTTGTAGTTTTGTTAATTTTTTCCGTCGAGCGGTTACGAATCTAAATCTAAATCTCTAAAGTGAGGGTCCTTGACTTTTTGCACGGATAGTAGTGCAATGTAACACTCATGAAACTTCTTGTTTTGGTGGACCATATGTCAGCAGTGCTACAAACATAGTCTTGATTTTATTTTCAATGATTGACACAGGGGATATAGTGTTAAAAATGAAATACAATATTCTTTTTTCAAACTCCTTCTGCGTGACTACACTTTTTGGATTCATGACACAGCTTAGCTTGGATTTTGTACTTGCTAGACCAAGTTGCTTTTGCTCTTTTAATTTTTCTTTATTTGACATAGTCGTTGTAGGATTTGTTTCCATGCACTCTTTTTGCTGTGCTTAACAAAATTTGTCGTACTTTCGGCAGAGCCCTTAATAATCGTTTTTGAAGGAAGACATAATTGACACAGAGCTTCGACATGCAAATTCTTGTCACACGTTTCAACCAAGAAAAATGGTTGAAAAACGGTGGGAAAAATGGTCCGTCCAGCATTGGAGTGTTCTTGCACTTTCCAATGTTACTATAGTCGTAATTGATAAAGATGTATGCTGTGTAATGCATGCTTTCAGTGTCCCTAGAAGTTGAAGTCGATGACTGAATACTGAATACAGATGGCTTTTTAGTCCTAGAGACATAGTCTTCATCATTTTCTTATGAATTATGGAAAGGATCTGGTTCTGCATCACTTGAAATCTCCATGGTCCTATCTGTAAGTAAAGAACTACAATATTAAAGTGTTTCCAAAAAATCAGACTAATAACGAATTCCATTGGGAAGAAAAGAAGAATTCTTGGTTACAGAAGAATCCCAATAATAAGAAATTAACAAAACAAGCCATGCACTAGATGAAGATCAGATGAATGAAATGCAATTCAATCAAATATTTCAATTTGTTTCAAAAAAGCCTTAAAATGATCAACTCTTTAAACCACATTTCCCATACACAATAATAATAGTTACGTAAAACCACCCCGCAAAACTTTTAACCTTCTTTGACTGGTTTTTGTAGTTGTGATCTCGTCCGCCGAACGTTGTTCAATAACTAATAAGGCGAAAGAAACACAAACCTGTTTAAGCGCTGAGCGGCGAGTATACTCTGCAAATTCAGATAAGCTCAAACTTGTTCAAGTATCTGAGAATAATGTACTCGAATACGATGCGGGTATTGGGTACCAATAGAGAGTATTTGACGAACGATTGGGTATCGAGTACAATTGATTCCAATGTACTAGGTACCGGGTATCGGGTACTACAAAATATAGACAGAGTACAGAATGTTAATTAATTATCGTACCCGGCGTCATCATTGCAAGTATGCAACCAATATCACAGTATTGGTATTGCAATATTTGCGTATTGCATTGTGATGGTGGTTGCATATTTGCAATAATGACGTCGGGCAAGGTTTATATATTAAGGTTGTCTAAGAACCTATGCTGCAATACCAAGGTCTATAGAACATCAGGTTACCCAATGCCGATTCTCCTTCTCTGAGAGGCAAGGTTGGTCAGTGACGTAGCTGATTCTATGAATAACAACACGATGCAAGGTTTAAATATTTTATATAGACTGTACCACAGTATAGGCACGTATAGGTTATCTTTTACTCTGACTATATCGAACCAGTGACGTTAATCTGCGGGGTAATATCGATACTACAGAGGCATAGGGAATTAGGTAACCTTGTGTTCTATAGACCTTGCTGCAATACTTTGTTTTAGTTCGTGACGTAAGCGATTACGGATTGCGCACGCAACCTCATGGCCATGTGGTGCTCTGTGCATTTGTTTAATTTGAATTGGTTGGCGGTATTATTTTCCACATGTGACGTAATGCGCAATATGGTTGCGTACGAATCTAGACAACCTCTTATATAATAAACCTTGGACGTCGGGTACGATAATTATTTAACACTCTGTACATTTTTGAGTATTTTTATCCGGGTACTGCTCAGCTCTGCTCGTAAGTTACTTTAGTTAAAACTGATGTGTGATGATATAAAATTAGGGATATCCCCTGTAAGTCCATATTGATGCGTACGCGTACAGTTTGGGGATTGTCAGATACCGATTTCGCTTGTTTGCACATACACGGAATTTTAGTGTGAAAATTATTCTACGTTAAAATTCCTTAAATCGTGTTAAATCAAGTTAAATCGCGTAAAAAGGAATGAAATACATACAGTGACTCCAAAAACTATTCGTATGTGTATTTGCACTATTAGTTTGATAAAAATAAAATAAATTACAATAGAAAAGATTTATTATAATACAAATACAGTCAACGCCCGCTTAACGTACGCTCGCAGATACACTCAGCAGCAGAAGTCTGCGTACAACGAACGTAGAATGCTTTAAGCGGTAAAAATATAGTGATAATCTAATGCGATAAACTTCAACTCATATTTTGTCTGTATGTTAACAATATATAAATATATTAACAAAATATAAATCAATAAAATATAAACATTACTGAATAAAAAAAATTTAAACTAAAAATACTTCAAATAATGCCTATGCAAAAATCTGCGTACAGAGCAAAGCGACTAGTGTAAACCGGTTTTGTAAATAGGTGTTTCCGGTTTTAACAACAAAACAGTTGATTTCAATTGCATTAGTAGAGAATTGGAAGCTAAAAGTTAGAATGGAGACAAAAGGAAAAGAAATTGAAGTTGGAGAAAGAAAGATTATTGTAAAGCTATGGAAAGAGGGAAAAACTCTACGAGAAATAGGAGTAACTGTAGGCAGATCACATTCCTCTATTCAGAGAGTCAATCCAATTTCATTAATTTTTTTTATAATTAATTTTATGAATGATTGAATTCAAATAAAACTAGAAAAGTAAGATCCTTATTCTTACATTTTATTCTAATTAAAAAAAATCGGTTCCATTAAACAAATCATAAATAAACGATTATTAACTTATGGATTCTTAGGTTTTTTTAGTTAAAATTTTTGTTGTTGTTAATTAGGTCTACATTCTCTACAACATCGGCGAGGTTTTCCATTTTATTTAAAATTTCACTTAAAGTTTCTAATTTTAATACATTTTCTTTAAGCAGGTCTTCAACGGCGTCATCGTCACACGTTTCGACATTATCTGTCTTTTGTAATTCCATGAGATCTTCGATCTTCGAGAACTCTTCGTCATGTGATTCTATTAACTCCTTCGTTTATTTCCAAGCCTAAGCGCGTTCCAATTTTTATCACGCCTTCTACAACTTCGTTTTGAAGACTTCAACATTTGTTTCTTCATCATAAACAAATTGTGGGCACGACCTTTTCCACGCTCTTTTCATTGTCGTTTCTTTAACTTCCTCCCAAGAGGCAGATATATTTTTAATTCCATTATGGATATTATAATCTTTCCAATAAGACTTAACCGTTAATTCCTTACTATCATCAATAGCTTTAATCATGCTTGCCATAGTTGCACGTAAATAATATTTCCTAAACGCGGCTATAACGGTTTGGTCCATCGGGTGGATTAATGATGTCGTATTTGGTGGCAAAAATATTACCTTTACATTGGGACATAATTCATTCAACGTTATTGGATGCCCAGGGGCATTATCAAAAAGTAGTAATGCTTTAAACGCTAAGTTGTTTTTAGAGCAGTAACCTTTCACTTCTGGAATAAACTTGTTTCTATACCAATCTTCAAATCCAGATTTCGTGACCCAAGCTTAACGATTTGATTTCCAAATCACTGGCATTGATGACTTTGACACACCTTTAAGTGCTCTCAAATTTTCACTATGGTAAACCAACATCGGCTTCAATTTAAAATCACCTGCCGCGTTTCCACCTTGTAATAAAGTTAGGCGATCCTTGGCAAATTTATATCCCGGCATACGTTTCTCATCTTTAGTGATATATGTGTTGGAAGGCATCTTCTTCCAAAACAATCCCGTTTCGTCAACATTAAAGATTTCATGTGGAGTGTAATTTCCATCATCGACAATAACTTTTAGTGTTGCTATAACTTCACTAGCAGCGTTAGAGTCTGCATTCGCTGCTTTTCCTGTCACTTTCACGTTAATTAAGTTGCCTCTGATTTTAAATCTTCTAAACCATCCCCAACTTACATTAAACGTATCAGTTGAGTTCTTATCCATTTTTTTTCTTAATTTTGAATAAATTTCCTTAGCTTTTTGTTGGATAAGAGAAAGATTTAAACGAATATTTCTGTGTAATTGAGAGTCTAACCAAACTTTCAAAATCCCCTCCATTTCTTCCATCACATTAGAACGTATACGAGTACCTGAAGTTTGTTGAAAATTTACCCCATCTTTAACATAACACTTCAAACATTCTTTTGATTTTACTAATGTTGAAAACTGTATCCTAAACGTCTTCCTATTTCCGCTAGTTTTTCATCTTTCTCTGCCATTTCAATAATCTTCAGTTTTTCAGCAAAAGTAATCGTTTTCCTTCTTTTCGAACCTTGTTCTATCTCGCGGTCACCTTTTCTTTTATTCGACTTTTAGTAGATGCCAACGACGTCTGAAATTATCTGAAGCGAACTCAGGACGTGTATTGATTGAATTCACAAGGATATTTTTTCGTCCGGTCTCTTTCGGTAAATCCCTTATGCAGAATGTGGTAAAATAGAGTAGTATAACGACCAAAGTAGGAAAGTCTTGAGTATAACTGTACGACTGTATTATAAACAATTAAACTCAAATTTTTGCACTCAAAAAGTATTCGCTCACTTAGGTTTAATAAAACAAATTAAATTATCTTTTAAATTTTAGTATTTGATGGGGCCTCCATTTCATTTAGCTAATCTGATGTTCGCCTCAAGTAAACTCCACAAATTTTCAATAGGGTTAATGTCAGACGATTGTGGAGGGGTTTCAATCCAATTTGGAGTATTATAGAGTAACCACATTTTAGTATTCCAGGCTGTGTGCTTCGGATCATTGTCTTGGGTAAATACGTAATCGTTATTTAGTCCGCACTTTTTTTTATTTTTTCAGCACTGCTTCCAAAATTTGTTTTCAAAATGTTGATATATTGCTTGTGATCCATGATTTCATCAATGAAATGCATATTTCCAAGACTTTTCGAGGTCATGCAGCCCCATACTAGCACAGAATCTCCTCAGAGTTTAAATGTAGGTCTCAAGTTTTTTTTCTTGCAGTTCTTTTGCCGCCATATCATTCGTCTCATCCATAAATGTTAAACTTACTCTCATCCATAAATATTACTTTGTTCCAAAACTCATTTCTACTATTTTTATAAGTTTTAACGAATAATTTTCTTTTTTGTTTATTAATTTTGCTTATAAATGCTACGTTACGAATGGTAGCAATAGCAATTTTTGTTGGACTTTTATTAGGATCTTTTTTAATTTTGTTCACAACAATTCTCTTTTCTTTACAAGTGAGCTTTTTAGGACGACCAGTTCTGACAGCGTTGTTGATTTGCCTTCTTTACGTAGGCTTATAATAATTTTTCTAACTTCTATAGATGTTTCACACTATTTTCTACCCATTTTAATTTATTTAAAAAATATATTCGCTTGGTTTGAAAAAAACGTAATTAACGAAGGGTTAGTACGGCGCACGCTTAACTGACCTGGGATGATTTACCTACTAGATTTAAAAAACTATGTTTATTTTGTTTTATTAAAACTACCTGAGCGAATACTTTTTGGAGTGCAAAATGTGCACATGAATTGATCTATATTTTTATTATTATTATTATTGTGAAATGGTTAGAACAATTTTTTCTTGCTAATTTCTTATAAGGACATTACAACGTCTGTTTGTATTATAATAAATCTTTTCTGTTGTAATTTATTTTATTTTTATCAAACTAATACTGCGAATACGCATGGTGAGCGAATAGTTTTTGGAGTCATCTTTTTTAATCGAGTTAAATCAATTTTGCGTAAGAAAGATCACGTAAAAACAGTATTAGGTGTGTACAACAAGAGCTAACACTAGCACTAGAATTAGAAACATTCGGGTTTAGCAGTCTTAAGAGACGCACGGCTAAACCCGAATGTGTCTAGTTCTAGTTTTAGTTCAATATACATATTACAACTGTCTAATGCTGAATAACTAAAAAGCGAAGTGTCACGACTGTGTCTCACCGATTTCGATGAAATTTGGTACAGTCATAGAATGGGCCAAAATAAGGTTCGCACATTTTTTTATACGTGTGGTAAAAGCCCCTGGGGCGAGTTATAGGGGTTTAAAGTATGGAGAAAAAGTACGTTTTTGCATATATTTCGAAAACGAAAAGTGTTATCAAAATTTCGTAAATTGTAGCTGATATTCATTTTAAAAGAGCTTTGTTTTGATGTATCACACGTATACCAGAGGGTTAAAAGGGGCGAACTACCCCTATTTTTTCGGGTTTATTTAAAAATCACCCTATCGATTTTGATGACGTTAAATATACTTGTAGTGCATTCAAAAATATTAGTTAAGTGTTTTTTCTCATTCGTCGTAGATCAACCCCAGCGATAACATGTAACTACTAGTGATGTAAGAAATCTACTCGTTCGTTACTTGTGAGTAATCACAGTTACCGATTACCGACCGCGTACTCATTCGATTCTTTTTAGTAACTGCAATTACCGATTACTGGTCACATACTCATTCGTTATTTCTTAGTAACTGTAGTTCTAATAGTACTTTTCAATAAATAGATACAGTTCCCAATTCTTTCTCGAATTCATTCGTTACTTAGTCACTGCAGTTACGGATTACTTGCATCATAGGTACTTGTTTTTTTCTTGGGAATCAATTCTTTCAAAATAATTTAATAAAGACTATATATACGTACAAATTAGTATAATATGACGTCTAAATATGTAGTCATATTAAGGGTGTAAACAAAAACAAAAGATGAAATAAAAACAAATTAAATTACGTTTTAAATATATTAAATATCTTTAACAAAAGAGAATAGATTTTCAAAATGAAACACTATAAATTTTTATTCCAAATATGCATTAAATTTCAAAAATATTAAAGTTCTGAGATGCTTTGGAGTTAAACGAGATCTCAGAAAACGCCGTGCGCACACGATTATGTGTAGACTGAGATCTAACGTAAACATCACGAATGAACGGCTTCTTTCCCGAAGATTTGTTACTCATGCTAAATTTAAAAATAGCTTGGTAACGTATCTATTCTATTAAAGAATGCAAATAACGAATACAAGAAACGAATATGGGCTAAAAATGAGTGATTACTTTTATTCATTAAAAGTAATCAGGTATTCGTTACTAGTACACAGTTACTTTTATAAAAGTAACGAATGAGTATGAATACTGTAGAATACCGAAAACCTACATCACTAGTAACTACTGTTCATGATAATGATGTGATAAAACTGTCAGGTATTTTGAAAATACTTTAAACAAAACCGTAAATTAGTCGCACAATAAAATGTTTAGTGTAAAATAAGGCATAATACATCATTTAGGGGTGGTTGAGGTTAACCACCTCCTTAAAAATTAACATTCCATTTTTACCATTAGATAAACTATCTAAGGGATAATTACCATGGTTACAGCGATTTTAAGCACTCTCATTGGCTAAAGCGTCAATTTATCTATCGTATAAATTTATCAAGAGGTGGTAAGAGTGTGCCTTAACGTGTTTATTTTATATTTGAAGTAAAAATTTTTGAAAATGGTTATAAAGGTTACAAATTAGGGGTAGTTTTTTTGTTTATATCTCGAAAATGAAAACTGCCATCGTAATTTGTTAAATGAGTATTGTTTTATTTTTAAATCTATGTATATCGATATTCCACCAGGTGAACTACCCTCATTTTCTTTAAATAATAAATATAAAACTACTAGATAAATAAGATATTTTATTTATCTAGTAGTCTTATTTATCTAGTAGTTTTATATTTATTATTTTAAAAAAATGAGGGTAGTTCACCTCGTGGAACATCGATATAGATAGATTTAAAAAAAAACAATACTCATTTGACAAATTACGATGGCAGTTTTCAATTTTCGTATATAAGATATAAACAAAAAACTACCCCTAATTTGTAACCTTTATAATTATTGTCAACATTTTTTACTTCAAATATAAAACAAACACAGTGCCAAATTTCGCCGTAATCGACAAGTAACGGCCAGGATAGAATTAATTGCTTCCGGTAGACCGGAAGTGGCTGACTGACCGACCCATACTAAAAAAGTTCTAACGAACCAGTTACGTGAGACATCATGTATAAATGAAAACGTACTTTTTCTCCAAACTTTCAACCTCTATAACTCGCCCCACGGGCTTTAACCGCACGCATAAAAAAAATGTGTGAACCTTATTTTGGCCCATTCTATGACTGTACCAAATTTCATCGAAATCGGTGAGACACAGTCGTGACACTTTTCTTGTAAGATTAGAACTAGAAACATCCGGTTTAGCCGTCTTGAGAGTGTGGCTAAACCCGAATGATTCCAATTCAAGGTTTAGTGTTAATTTTAGTTTGATAAAAATGTAAGAACTAAAACTAGAGCTAATACTAGCAGTTCGGCCCAACAACAGCTGATTGAACAGTTCTTTTAGATTCTTCCGCCCTTGTATTAAGCAATATTTTGAAGTTATGTTTTGATTATTACTTTTTAAAATTTTTTAACATAACTTACAAATTATATATTTTTAGATTTATTTTCTGTTTTAAATAAAGATTAATTATAGATTTTAGATTAAGATTATTTTACTAATTTTTTATAGACATCACAGTTTTTTATATTTGTAAATTGGGGAGTATTTCCAAAAAATTAAATACTTGCAAGTTCCTTATTAATGTGTTATTAATTAATCTTTAAACAGATAACAAGAAATAAGCTTTCAGCTTTTACACAAACTATGGCTTTTTTGTGATATAATACATGGTTTAATATCGTTAATATCATAGATAAATTTTAAGTTTTTGGAGGTTAAGTACTTTTTCCTTTGACTAAAATCTTCTGAACGGCAACGTTTTGTAAATTGGGAACCTGCAAGTATAACCAGAAAGAAATTTTCTATTAATTTTCATCTATCTTTTAAAATATTTGAAATGATAAGATGAAAATGAGAAAAGGTTATGTATGAGGTTATGAATAAAAAAATTTTTGTTATGATTTATGGTAATTATTTTCTGTGATATCCAGTAATAAATGTGAACAATAACTAGTTTTGTGCATTAAAAGTAATCCAAACTTTTCTAATTGGAAAAGAATCATTCCATTTTTAGAAAAATTCAA